GCTCCCCCCGAGATTCTCCGAGCCTCAGGGCGCGGTGGATACCGGCGATTCGCAGAAGGTTCATCAGCCGAAAGAAAAAAACCAACCCCCCTCAAGCCTAGCCTTCCCTCAAGCCCCCCTAGCCTTCCATCATCCCAAGCGGGATGAGCCGATTTATCTGGCAGCTGCGCCGCCGCCAGAACCCATGGACCGAGGCCTCGTCGTCGTGTCCAGCCCATCCGAGGTGGTTTGAAAGGCAGTTTGATCACACGCCGGTACCTTCCAAGGGAAAAGACACTGTTTCCAAAGCGAGTAGGGGAAGGTATAACAAGAACAAATAGCTGGAAATGGAGCGCAGCCAACTTTTTAATTACAAGATGATTAAACTACCAATCTGTAATTATTTAAGTGTACCTTTACCAAGCACCCCGATAACCAAGGACCTAATGAACTTTGCAAACCGCTAGGCAAGATGAACTACTGTCAACTGTTAGATAAGCTGCAACTAAAAAACTGAGGATGCCAGCAACTACATCAATACAGAAGAATACAAGGTCTTTTCTCTGGCAAAAAGTGGAATAATCTTTAACAACCAGCCAGCTGAGCAGGTGGAAGCAGCAGCCCACGAGTCAGAATTTAAGCCTAATTGTTCCAAGGAACATTATAAAATCTTATCAAACTGTCACCACAAAACCACAGTTGTGCAAAACTTCAACTGCTTGGTTAGTACCTGAAGGCGGGAGCCATGCAGGCTCCAACGGTCCCAGTAAAAGCTCCAGAGCAGCCCCCTTACATCTGCTGTTTTCCAATAACTTCTACGCTGGGTGAGACAAGAGATTTCAGGAGAATTACGTGATTTCAGAAGCGACCAAAGTAGTAACCTGGAACAATTCACAGCAAAACTTCCTTAGTATTAAAATCATTACAGTGTTAAAATGCCTAAGAAAAAGTTTGAAAATGTTTAACTATTTTTAAATAATTTTTAAATATATATAAACATATGTATAATATGGATAGATACATGGTAAAGTGTTTCCAAATTATTATTTGTTTATCCATTACTTATTGGCTACTTTTAATGAGCTTTGGGGTTTGTTTGGAGGTTTATTCCATTTTGTTTTTTCCTTTACTTTTAAATAAAACAAGTCTTTAAGGAAAGGTGAAGGTTTTAGTTGTAAAAAATAAAAAGGAATAAATACATGTTCAGAAAAGATCTTACAAGCTCATATTTGGAAGCAGGAGCAAAATATTCAAAGACCAGTGAATTACTGTGGGGTTTAGTCCTCCCCCGCCCAGCAAGGCTGTCTGCTGCTCTGTCGCCTTGCCTTTGCCTGGCTGCTTATGGTTGGGAGCCATTGGGGCCCTATGTCCGTAGGTAGGATCCAGTGGGAAACATCCTTGCTCAGTCATCCTCTCTCTGTGGATGCTTGTGTCGTCTTTAGCTTGGTATCCTTTGATATCGGTCAGTCTAGGGAGCAAAGGCAAGGCGTGAGGAGAGGCTCAAAATACTTTAACAAAAGCCCTGTTGACAGAAACCCCCTTGGAATGGTTATAACTCAGTAAGTTAATACCCAAGTTCAAAACCTAAGTAAAGTGAATGCATCCTTACCTCAAGAAATGAGTAATTAAACAAAAGTACAGTGTTTACTTAACGTTCGTCTTGTAAAGTTTGCAAGTCTTAAGCTAATATTAACTACTTCAAGAACTACTGCAAGTTTATGGTGTTCTCGCACACAAGTTTGAAACACCAGTTGAGTGTATTTATCTTTTCCGTGGTGTATGATTCTTTTTTTGCACAATTCAGCCAGCGTGAGCAGCTCCAAGCTCTTCTGCAGACTACTAAAGACCTGTAATACACTACCCAATATTTTTTCTTAAATAAATAGCACAGAAACAGGAAGTACATTTGTTGACAGACAGGCAAGGGTTGAACACTGCAAGCGAAATAAAATATATCCCAAGGGCTTATGTGAAAACCATTTATTCACTTCCAAATAAGTGGATGAGTATTAAGGACCTTCTGCTGTTACTTTTTTTGTTTCTTAGACTAAATAAGTATGTGAATCTTAATCTGAGTATTAGAAAAAAAATTTGTTATAGTATGAATTTTATGGGTTTCACAAGGGTGCACACAAAACTGAAAATAAACTCACTTTCCAAATAACTGAGGTAAGTCTTTGGAGGTTTAATAACTTAGTTTACTGACAAATATATTTGTTAATTACCTATCTAATCTGTGCAGAAGTGCCTTATACCTGAAAGGTGCTATAAACCCAGAAATTACTAGTTCTCCTCCATCGTGTTTTCACACAGAACGGCTATTCGAGCTAGAAGACATTTGTCGATGCTCCTGGAGGCTGAAAATGTGGTCTGAAAAATACTGATACTAGAGAGACTTCACTAGTGAAATATTTCATCCCCTACTTCTCCAAGGGAACTCGATGATGGGAGGCTCCATCTAGAGATCACATACTGCAAATTCTTCTAAAGTGTTGATGTTGCTGTCAGGGATCCAGGATTTGCCCCGGCTTTCAGCCTCAGCCTGGCTCACGGTGGGGGTCGGCACAGAAGAGATCAGCCTTCCCTGCGATACGACGGGATGCCTTGGATTACCTATTACAAAAGTGAGTTTTCCTGGATGCCCATGAAGATGTTGCCACATTACCCATGATGTGTCATTCCGTGCCTTTGACATCTCAGTTTCAGAAAGCAGCAACACGCCCAGTAGTAGGAGCTGCCACCTCCAGTGGCTCCTGGGCAAAGGAGGGAGGGAGAGCAGTCAGCGGCACTTGCCGCAGGATGCCTGCCATGCTGCTGCGCTGGGGGCCAAGGAGGTGGCTTTGGAGTAAGCACCTGGGCACACATGGAAAGGGTGGGAAGCAAGTAAAGAATGAAAAAAAAAAAAAAAACACTTGGCTGGAGAGAAAGGGCTTAACATTATAGTCTGGGGCTTGAAGGATCCTGGCCAGAAAAGAGGGTGGGGGAGGTTTGGGATGGCCAGAATGCCTATATCTGAGCAAACTGAAACAGCTTGGACTTTTGCAGAAAGCTTTCTTAGGTTTATTATGACTGTGTTATCGTTTTGCTTCCTTAATGGCTTTCTTCCAGATTTTCTGGGGGGGAGGGGGGGGAAAAAGTATGCTGTCCTGCATAGCTTTGGTGGGGATGTAACACCCCTTACCCCCACCCCCCAAAACCCCAGGCATTACACTACAGGTAAAACAAGTGCTGAAGCTTCCTAATTAACTTAATCTTAATTTACAGAAAACAAATGGGCTGCAATGAAAACATGCAGTTGACACCCACCTGTTGAGAACAGACATCACGAGGGTGTCCCGGTGTGCTCAGTTATCATTAGGAGAATGGGGGCAATAGGAATGTTGTGCAACAACATAGTGGTTTAAATTCTTAAAAGATGTGTTCACTATACATATTGATATGCAAAATGACAGTCATTTTAAATGCAAATCCCTAATTACAGTGTCAAAGGTGCCACTTTGAAGAGCAATACTCAATTACTACTCCACCATTACATAGTGCCTTTACAAATGAGAACCAGTGTCTTTTTCTCAGAGAGGTTGCACAGAAAATCTGAAGTGAGAAGCCAAGGCAGACATGTGGGACATGATCCAGTTGCGGAGCAGGACTCACACCTAACTTTTCCAGAGAGTAGCCTTCGTTATTTCAGTGGAAGTTCTCAGAAGTACTTTAGCAGCTTGCTGGCTTGGATATAGGTTGCGCTGCAAAATACAGATTAATATTAAGACATTAAGTAAAACTGATAAAAAGTAAAACTATACAGAGCACAGAGAGCTGCTTTTTTTTATTTCATTTTATCTTTTATCCTGTCCAAATTCCCCTTCTTTCATTTCTTCCCTCTCTCCCAACTCAAATTAATATGGAATCTTTATATTATATTTATATAATAAATATATTTTATTATTATATTATATTTATATTTCTGTCCCACACCTTCACAGTGCACCTTCTTGGCGTGCTCACTAGTTTTCTCCATCCATTATAATATAGGCTTCCTATAAAGCTTAAGAAAATTAACCTTTGAATATCAACACTTTCTACTAATACAGACATTTTAATGACAGGAGATACTCTGTGATGCCATATGCACTTGTAACTAATTTCTGTGTAGAATTTTGACTTCTGAACCTATATATGCAATTGTAAAACCTCAAAAAGTAAAATTATTAAAATGGCAGCTCAGTTAGTAAAGAATGAAGTTTCAAACTGGTTAGGTTCCCTCCTTCAGTGTGTAGCCGGGTTACTCAGGGCTACCTCCAAACTCGCATCCTTGTCTCGCGTTACTTTGCCTACCGAAAGCAGCAGAGATGCTTCCATTCCAGTCTGGTAGTTGAAGAGGTTGTGCTCGGACAAGAGGTTTTAAAGGTCCTGCTGACCAGCTGCACCGTTCTGGATAACCGGTTTCCCAGGTATGTTCCAGAGTCTGTAAACTGCAGGAATTGAAACTCAGCCAGCTCAGCTCAAGGCCTTTCAGCACAGAAAGTTACTGCCTTACACTGCTAGACATGCGCATGTCTTTCAAGCAATAATTCATGTTTTGAGCATGCACATGTTCTGCAATCATCTAATGCATACTTGCTTTTCATTCAAAAAGGCTACTCTTATCAGACCAAATAGCTAGCTATTAGCAATAGCTTTCTCTTGTACTGGTTTATCATAGGAAAACATTGGTTCATTATCGCAGAGATATTCCAGTAGTGCTGTGGTTTGAGTTTTGCTACTTGGCCGTATGAAAAAGCCAATTCTCCAAAGTCTCAGTTCTTCAATTTCTTCTTTTTCAACTATTTTTTACGACACTCTGATTGCCTGTAATTGCTTTCCACACTCAGTTAGTCTCAGTTCTTCAATTTCTTCTTTTTCAACTACACTCTGATTGCCTGTAATTGCTTTCCACAGTCAGTAGCATCATGAGAAGCCTCTGACTTTTGTTATTCACTGGACAAGTTAACAGGTTATTCGCTTTTTTCCCTGTAACACCGTAGCTTCCTAAGGAGTAAACTGGCATCATAAACAAGAACAGCAGGGAGAGAAGCCGATTTTGTTTTGTCATCAGCCCGTTTGCTGCCGTTACTATTCAAAGTTTACAAGGAGCAAGAGTTGTAAGAAGCTTCGAGAAGTGCAGTGACTTAAGAACTGGAGTTTCAAAATTAATTTTTGAGATTCAGAAATATACTTAAAAAGTGAGTGCCTGACTGGGATCATTTCTGAAGCTAGAGCACGACCTCTAGGTGGTGCTGACGAGCTGTTACTCCATGAGGTTAAGGCATATGCCAGTTTATTAAAATATATTCTGGACCATTACCTTTTGGCAGTTACGTTCAGGCACGGGGATAGCAGGTTTAGCAGTTAAATTTCTGCAAATTTCTTATTGTAATACAGTGGGTTTAAATCTATAACCATAAAGAATAATTCAATTCCTTCTTCAGTACACGGGCAACAGCAAGTACACAGCAAATGAAATCGTGCAAGACAGCATGGGGTAAGACAAAGCACCCAAGTAATTTCAGGGACCACAGTTTAGGTCTCAATGGGCTATGAAAAATAACTTAAGATTTTTATAAAAATAACTAGAGGGGAAATTTGAAAGCTAAACAGCAGAGATGCATACAATTAGATGAACTAGAAATGGTATTTTCAGCTCCTTTAAATGAGTTTGAGATGCAGCCAGTAATTGCATTTTATTCTGACATTTATTACTAGAAAGAGTAAACTGTATTGCTGTACGTGCATTAGAATCACAGAATGGTTTGGGTTGGAAGGGACCTTTAAAGGTCGACTGGTCCAACCCCCTGCCATCAGCAGGGACATCTTCAACAGGGTCGGGTTGCTCAGAGCCCTGTCCAGCCTGACCCTGAACATTTCCAGGGATGGGGCCTCCACCACCCCTCTGGGCAACTTGTGCCGGTGTTTCACCACCCTCATGGTAAAAATTTCTTCCTTATATCTAGTCTGAATCTACCCTCTTTTAGTTTAAAACCATTACCCCTTGCCCTGTCACAACCGGCCCCACTAAAAAGTCTGTCCCCACCTTTCTCATCAGCCTCCTTTAAGCACTGAAAGGCAGCAATCAAGTCTCCCCGCAGCCTTCTCTTCCCTGGGCCGATCAAACCCAACTCTCAGCCCGTCCTTGTAGGAGAGGTGCTCCAGCCCTCAGATCATTCCTGTGGCCTCCTCTGGCCCCGCTCCAACAGGTCCATGTCCTGTGCTGGGGACCCCTGAGCTGCATGCAGGGATGCCTCACCAGTGCAGGGCAGTGGGGCAGAATCCCCGCCCTCGCCCTGCTGGCCACACTGCAGGGGACACAGCCCTGGGCACGGTTGGCTTCTGGGCTGCGAGAAAACGTTGCTGGATCATGTCCAGCTTTTCATCCACCAGTCCCCTGGATTGCCTACAGCTCGCCGTGCTACTTTTCCAGCAGATGTCTGGGTGGTTGAAGTCCCCCAGGAGGCCAAGAGCCTGTGAGCACGATGAATCCTGTAGCCAGAGTAAGACTGCTTCAATAGGCTCCCCTTGATCCAGCAGCCTGTAGTAGACATCAACCACCAGGTTCCCTTTCTTGCCTCAGTCTCTTAATTCTTACCCATAAGCTTTCAGCTTGCTCCTGGCTATTCTTCAGAGACAGCTCTCCACACTCTATCCATTTCTTGATGTAGAGGGCAACCCCTCTGCCCCTTCTTCCTTGCCTGTCCCTTCGGAACAGCCTTGTAGCCACTGATAGCTGCACTCCAGTCAACCTACTAGGCTGTAGCTTTCTGACAGCATGGTGGCTTCCAGCTCCTCCCGTTTGCTGCCCATGCTACATGCATTGGTGTAGAGGCACTTCAGCTGGGCTGTTGGCAATGCCCCCTTCTTAGAGGCACACCCTTTAATTCGTTTGAGGTGTTTCACTGGCGTTTCCCTGCTGGCTCCTATTACCCCAGGAGCCCCTGGCTGATGTCCATAGCTCATCTTCCCTCCAGTGTAGCCAGCATGTCTCAGAGCAACAGGCTGAGGGCCCTTGCTAGTACCCCGTCCCTCTAACCTTGGCATGTCATCACACAGCTTGTCACTGGCAAGCCTGGTATTACCACCCTCCCCCTACAAGGCTTAAAGCCCTGTCAATGAGCCCCGCTAGCTTATGAGCAAAGACCCTCTGCCCACTTTGAGAAGGGTGAATCCCACCTGACGCCAGCAAGCCTGGTGCCATGTAGGTGGTGCCATGTAGGCCATCCCCTTACCAAAAGACTCAAAACTGTGGCAGTGACACCAGCCACGGAGCCATGTGTTAGCAGAGTGGGCACGTCTGTTTAGTATCTAACTTGGTACAGCAACGACCTTACTGAAACATCAACTCCATACTGCTGCAATCAAGCTGCTTTTGGAACTTAGTGATGTTATGCTAAAGCTGAAAATGTCTAGTTTAAATGGAGATGGGCTAACCAAAGGTGCAACTATATACACATTTCATACCAACTCTGTCCTGTGGTGCAACTGGTTAAAAGAGGAGCTTCAAGACACTCAGTGCAGCGACACCTCTAGAAGTCACACACTACGGAGTAAAATGTCAAGGGCAATAGCACACGCATTTTGGTACTACTGTAACTGCAGATGTGTACGTACCTGGAATAATTCACAATCAGCTATTGTCAGTCAAATGGCAATTTGGGTAACTGTGTACAGCCTATTTAAAATACCTTATTCGATTACCATTCTTTATCTGAAGCTTGCAGACTGTTAGGACAAACAGATTAACTGTGCCGCTTTACAAAAGAGAAAAATGAACTTGAGAAATGCAGTCACTCAACTGCGATCATACCGTCTGCTGTACAGATAGTGAGGTGCTGCCAGATGTCATAAGGTGCTGTTATTTCAGGAAAGCATTTATGAGAGAGAAACTTTGTTATGCAACAGTATAATGCCAGAAAAATGCATGTTACATTTTGTTGTGGGTTTTCCCCCCCCTTTCAGAAGGTGCTTGAATGTTTCCAAATCGTTACCTTGACATCACTGTGCATCTCTTCCCTGCCATTGATTAAAAAGAAACCCGATCAACTTCCCCTTGCATAATGTGTAAAAATTCCACAAAAGAAAGAGAACAGTAAAAGAAAACTAGCTCATTCTGTTAGATTCTTTCTTAGGCTACAGAACCTGATCAAATTTGAAGAACTAAAAAGACATTATAGCTGGGTAAGACATAACCTGACCTCCCATGTGCTAAAAAGGAATACGTTGTTCTGATAAAAATATTTAACATGGTGCAAGGAAGCTCAGTCACATGTAATTTTAAGTTACTCAAACTTATTTATTGACAATTTAAATGTGATGTATTTACAGCATTGTTTCTAAAATAATTTAACAGTTTTCATAGATTTATAAAAGTACTGATAAATAGGAGACCCTGACAATTACCAACCACTTCCCTACAACATCAGTTCTTTTTTCTCCCCCCCACCCTGCTTTTTTAAGTCCCATAATGGAGCTGCTTTACCTCCACCCAATGTGTAAAATTGCCAATACCAAAATATAATAAAATGAACATGCAGTGTGAAAGCTGTACCAGAGAAGTGATTTCAGATGTTAGACTACAGTAAAAGTATTTCAATGCAAAGTGTCTTCCACACAGAATGTACTTGTGAAAAAATAAGCTTTTAAAGAGCTATTGTTTTATCTTTATAGAAGTTAAAACCTACAATACTAATTCAGACATTTACGGTAACTTCCAATCCTGTGCTAGTTTTCACATATATCTAAAGAGTCAAACAAAACCTGTAAATTACAAACACCACTGCCTTAAGACAGTGGTTACTTAGCTTATGGATTTAAAAAAAAAAAAAAAAAAAAAAAAGAAGGTGCTGATACAATTTAAGGTTTTGAAATTAGATTGTATTTCATTCTTATATGATACCAATTATTCTATCCTTGGATCAACAAATTATTGTGGTAAAGCCATCCATATCTCTCAAGCAGGAAGTCAGTTTGGAAGTTGGAGAGAAGATGGACTTGTATGATATGTATCTTCCATTACAGTAGACAAAAAAAAATTATCACAAAGCTGGACAGTCTGAATCACAATAAGCAGCAGCATGAGATATTTGAAGGGTTTTGATTAAAGCAAACAGTTTTCAAAAACGATGAAAAGTACACACTCAATCTAATCCAATACTTGAAATGTAAAGGTTCTTTTCATTTGCATCACTGAAGCCCTGTACACAGTGTACATGAACAACAAATATTCATTTTTCTTAAAAACATATATTGCACAGCTAGTGGGTGCAATACCAGAACACTGGTATCCCTAGCATAAGGTTTCTATTTTAAATAGCTGTTTCGAACTATGCTATTCAGAGCAACTCCAAGCCAATGTTCAAAACCATTAGGAATGGTTTGTGTACGTAACTAATCCAGAAGTGTTTCAACAACGTGAGAAAAAACACAGGCACTTAAGATTATTAGTGCACCAAAAGTTATAGGCCACAATTGCATGATTATGAACAGTTCAGTACCAATAATGACAAAACTAAGCAAGAAGGTCTTCCACGGATCAATATAGAAACAACTGTTCACAAAGCACTGATAAGAAAACCATTCTCAAAACAGTAATCAAACGATACGTTTAGACATGTAAGACAAATAATTGCTGCAAAGCCTAATGTAACACAATATAAACCCTACTTAGTTCAAAAGACCTGAAGTGTCCAAATTCAAAAGTCCAATTTCTCTTCTCCCCCCTCCAAAACACCATTACACGCAGTCCATTAAAATCCAAACGTGCAAAAAGTTGTAACCCACCTTCAGGAGTGCATCAAAAATGGGCTATTTCAAATACTATTTTAGTGGAAATTTTACAGCACCATAATTAGAATTTCAAGGGTGTTCAGAATTCTTGTTCTGATAACAAATCAGTTGACACTGTTGATCCTAAAGAACAGAAGAAACATTTTGTGCATTTCCTGGTATCTAAAAGTCATGGAGAGAAACAATTCTCATCTCTGCCTAAAATCTTACTGTAGTTCAAAATGAAATTAAATAATCACATTTCTTGGCAGTAAATTCTTCACAATACAGCTTTAGTCGTAAATTTAGTAAATTTGCCAGATTAGGAATGAAAACTTGCTGGTACCTTGCTTACTTGCAGAAGTACTTTTTTGGTTTTGTCTTTTGTTTTTTCTCTTCTAAATTGTGCAGTTTGGCCCCTCCCTTGTAGGTGATTTACTATCAGGCTTTGAGAAAACACATAAGGTCCATTTCTGACCCTCAGCTGAAAGGCAATATACAAACACATTATATATACACATGTGTGCACAGAAACACACACACACACATATATATATAAAAATCAGTGTTCCGGTTTTTTGTTCTCATTTCCTATAATTTTCTTTGGTTAAAAGTCCGAGCAAGGAAATTAGAGGACCGAACAAATGGATCATTCTCCAAACACTTCCATCACTACACATCGCTAACTGGAAGGCTTGCATCATCCAGATCCACAAGGCCAGGATCCTGTTCCTGAGTGCCATTTTTACTCTGAGGTTCCGAGAAGCCCCGTTCAGTCACTTTGGAAGCTGATTCTCTTGGAGCGACAACCTGGATCTTGTAGCTCCCTGGCTTGGCCTTGGTAAAAGATTCGTGAAATCCTCGCTTCTCCAAGGCAGAGTATTTGGTGTGAGGGTTTGGGACCAGAGGGCTGCCGTGAGTGGCTGTGGAATGTGAGGTGGCTGGGGCTGGGACGGCAGAACGGAGAGCATGGTTGGGTTCGGAAGAAGACTCGGTATGCTCCTGCAAAAGAAGAGCACGTGTCAGATGAAGTCACTGATGTCACGCTGGAAAGATGCAGTTTCAGACTTCACTCTCAGAAAAAAAAAAAAAATCAAGACAGAAAATACACAAAGCAAAGCATCAGCCACAGCAGCAGAAGGCAGGTGCTTTCTCAAGGCAGTGTATTATTAAATGTGAGCTTACAGCAGTATGTGACAGCAACATCAGTTTTTTCATTTGAGGAAATCACATTTCTCACATCAAGCTCTTAGACCTTATAATATAGTCCAGCAAACTGAAGCTTCTCATTTTACCAAGATGTTAAGTAACCTTTTGAAGATACACACTGTAAAGGCCATTGAAAGTGACATCTTTCCAAGAGAAAAATGTATTCAAACATATTCCTATACATCAGGCACTCATATCCATGCAAGCCTGGAGAAAGGACGACCTTCCCTCTGTCGATGTGGATCAGGTTAGGGATCTTTTAAGGAAGCTGCACACCCACAAGTCCATGGGCCCTGATGGAATGCACCCGTGAGTGCTGAAGGAACTGGCAGATGACATTGCTGAGCCACTCTCCATCATCTATGAAAGGTCGTGGAGAACAGGAGAGGTGCCTGATGACTGGAAGATAGCCAATGTCACTCCAGTCTTCAAAAAGGGCAAGAAGGAGGACCCAGGGAACTACAGGCCGGTTAGTCTCACCTCTGTCCCTGGAAAGGTGATGGAACAACTCATTCTAAGTGACCTCTCCAAGCAAGTGGACGACAAAAAGATCATCAGGAGTACCCAGCACGGATTCACCAAGGGGAAATCATGCCTGACCAATCTGATAGCCTTCTATGATGGCATGACCGGCTGGGTAGA